ACGAAATGATGACATGCAATTGAAACACGAACTGCAGAAGGAGCAATTTCTACAAGATTCCAAGATAGTCAGCTTCTCAGGAGAAATTATGAAAGCAGGCTGCGATGGCAGAATGATTGAGGTGAGTAGACGGCTGGAACTACGGACCACACAGTTGTTGTTGATGCTAACTGGTACGAAAGAGACACAACAACCTTGGCTGTAATTCCGCATAGCTGTCGGCACAGATCATCAACTCCAGAGTCGAAGTTCATCCCGCGACAGTTGCGATTGTGCAGAAAAATGCGTCAGTGCTCTCACGATATCAGCGAAGGGATACATCGAGATATTCCTTTTTGAAAGTGCCTCCTCATGAAACTTCCACACCACATTTCGTTCCAGATATCTGGATTCCTTACCGTGATTTTCACCATCGATGAGACGTACTGCATGCCTGGGCAAAGGTCCGGGGACCTGCTCTATAAGAAAAGCGGCACTTGAATGATCGTCACGGAAAATGGGTACATTTCGGCACGTATGACCTCAAAAAGACGTTTATTAGGTCATTCCATCCGCGTGGAGGGAAACATTCAGAGGAATGGAAGGAAAGCGAAGGGGCTATGGCTTTGGGATTTCATATTGTTTGAAAGCTGGTACCTTTTGTTACAAAGATATGCGTGAAACTTGGCTTGCTTAGCCACAGAAGGAAATTTAGAGAAACTGAAAATAAACCCCAGTGGTCAAAGCAGTATCGGATTATAGATTCGAGCGCCATAATAGGAAACTGCGCTGCTCAAATTCATCCCATGCCTGTTATATTGTTTAGTTGCTTATAATGGTGTCCTCGAAACAGAATGTGGAAGATTAAGTTCAAATTCCAAAGAAGGACGAGTGAAACCGATGGCCGATGAGGGCCCCATGTTGTTCATCCTGCACAGAGGAGTGGGTGGAGCAGTCAAGCGCTAAATAGCTGATCACAGGCACTGGAAACTTGTGAAGTTTCCCGTGAGACTGACAATCCTGCTGCAACCTCTGCCATTATCTCTGAAATACTGAGGATGGTCAAGAGGGCATGTGTTTGAGTGCCCACTTTCTTGCAGAAGCACAAATGTCGATTCTATGTCTGTATCAGTAATGTTCGCCACATAAAATCCACTTACGACTGCGAAAACACACGCCGGCCCTAGATGGAATACGTGTGGCCTTGGACTCCGAACTAGAACCCACAAGTGTCTACTTTGGAAGAATGCAGATGAGAAAAAGCCCGAGTCCTGGCATCAGGAGTTACGCGGGCCCAAGCGCATAATCATTATTGCAGTAGATTTTTGCACTGTCGCTTTAAAGCGGCTCCACACAGAAAACAAAATCGTCGCATTCGGTGATATTTTGTTGGTCCTCAACGATCAGTTCCACAAATGGATGGTACCACACAACTGCAAGAAGGCCACCATTGCTCGTCACAGTGGAGGCCGCAAGTAAACGTATCATTGGGCAGAGCTCCAACACAAACAGTAGTTAGACATGGGTTCAATCGTGTTGTTCGCCCGACTACAGTCGTGCAATTTCACCTGTTTTGGCCAGTCGAAGCCACTGTCCGTCGGCAAACGCTACGACGTTTTCCCACTGAGCATCAATAACGATTCACACACTTCTTGAAAAAACGAAAATGTCAGTGGTCCAAACGCTCCCAGGACGGTGGGAGAGGATCATGGATAAAAGAGGGATCTCCTTAAAGGCACGTTCCGCGATAAACCAAGGCTAGAACCTTACAAATGCATAAGGTGATCCACTACGCGATTACAGAGGTTGCAGTACATGTAAAACTTGTAAAATGGCACATGAAGCGCAGGAAGCTTAGGTTTTAAGCCCAAGGAGGCCCATGCCGGCCTACATTGCCCAAGTTGTCGTAATAATGTCGTTGAGCTCTCTCGCAGGTCAATTTCTGGTTGCCGTTGGGGGGAGGAGAAAGTTGCAGAATACGTCCCCCTTCTCCGCGCTTTGCAGTGCATCGTCACCTTCTGCATACCACTGTTGATCCTGGCCATCCTACGCTCGTCCAGGGATCATGATCAAACGTAAGAAGGGGAGCCATGTCGAAAGCGGTTTTTCGTACTTCCTTCATCACCAGTAAGTCGACTAGCACAATGCACTTCTGTTTTCGAACTCTGTTACTTACGATGTGCCATCGCGGGAAGCGCGTTTAGAGGCACGGTTCCCGACAAATCAAGGAAAGAACGTCTTGAAAGTGCCTTTATCACCAAGTAGGTCACCGCAGAGGTTGTGCCATATTTAAAAAAACTCAGGGTGGGCAGGTTTTAGGCCCATGGTGCTATCACGCCAGCCGTTTCTAGCCTCTCTCTCCTCTCTTCTCTGTATGATCGCCTTTTGTAAAACACAGTTGATCTTATCTATCTTATATTCGTGCGACTATCACGATCAACGTCAATGAAGAAGGTCTTATCGTCGGCCGTTTTCTGAACTTGCTTCTTCTTCACTAAGTCAACTAGCACACGGCAGTCTTATTTTTGAACTGTATTAGCTATGATGTTC